CTCATATGTTTTCAGCAAGTAGTCTATGTTGTAGTAATCCGAGCAATACTTGTATGAATCCATGTAGAATTTTTGTATAACTGCCATTGCATGTGAACATGGAATATCGTCTAGCTGAAACCTCCCACAACTGCAGTTTCTTTCATGTAGGCGCACCACATTTCTTGTTTGGCCATCAATTACTAAATGTAAGAATTCAGTTGATGGCAACACCTAGTATAATTTTAATTAAGAAAAGTCATTAGCTATATGAAGTAATAGTATTTTTTAAATAACAATATTCAGTTGTTTAGTGAAATCACTAAGGTAAAAAAGTAAAAATACAGTACATGTAGTGTTTTTATGATTTTGAAAATGCATACTGTCATCGTCTGTGATAAGATAGTATTATCTGCCAATAATTTTTCATACTTTGCACGAATGTTCATAAATGATTCCACTGCATCCTTCCGATTGGTGTAATTCCATTTTTGAATCAATGTTGTCATAAAGTCAAGAAAATTCACAACTGGGAGGTCTCTTGCATGCTTGTTTGATGCATTTACTGATTCCGCAATATTCGATGTCATGGTCATGGTTCTATTTGCCTTGGAATGCGCCCGGGACAATTTACCATATCCAATATCCATCAGGTATGTTTTCACTCTACTATCAATATCTTCTAACTCTGCCATATGCCTGTTGAATTCTTCAACAGTGTATGCTCTTGCTAAAGCAAAATATACTTCTTTGATTTGTTTTTGGCTCTTCCTGAAGTTTGTCTTTATGTTGCTCCATAGATGGAACATGCATGCACAATGAGGGACTTCTGGATAGACAATTGAAGTTGCTTTCCATATAGCATCATGCATGTCTGATACAATGCACATTCCCTCTCTTTGTCCATAGGTTTCTCTCAACTGCACGAAGAACCATTCCCACGATGCATCATTTTCCGAATCAACAATTGCATATGCGAGGGGTAGAATTTGTCCTGTAAACCCAAAGAACAAAATATCAATTACAACACACTATATTAATTTAGCATTTCATATAGTAGTATAGTCATAGGTAGGTGCAGGTGTGTAGCAAAACAACTATATACTCTGTTGGTATACTTGTATACCATACTGGTATCATATAATATTTGAAAATATTTTTTTTTGTTTCTTTAACCGAATGTAATTGGATTGTACACAAAATATTAATTTAGTATTTCATATAGTAGTATAGTTATAGGTACGTGCAGGTGTGTAGCAAAACAACTATATACTCTGTTGGTATACTTGTATACCATACTGGTATCATATAATATTTGAAAATATTTTTTTTTTGTTTCTTTAACTGAATGTAATTGGATTGTACACAAAATATTAATTTAGTATTTCATATAGTAGTATAGTTATAGGTACGTGCAGGTGTGTAGCAAAACAACTATATACTCTGTTGGTATACTTGTATACCATACTGGTATTATATAATATTTGAAAATATTTTTTGTTTCTTTAACTGAATGTAATTGGATTGTATTCTTACCCTCTGCGTCTTGCATGGAAACCGTGAGTATGGTCCCTCTATATGTTGACTTTAAAAAACTTCCATCAACTACAACTGGTGGCCTACAATAGACCCATCCTCTAATCGATGCATATATAGCTATGAATGCATACAAGAAGCTCCCATCTCCTTCAGTGTGTAGTCGTGTCACTGATCCTGGGTTAGCGTACTCTAACATATAAAGATATGTTGGCATTTTCTTGTATGATTCACTTGGTGATCGTCTCAATAATTGCATTGCTTTTTCTTTTGATCTCCATGCTTGCATGTAGCTTAAGTCCATACCATATGCTTTTTGGATGTCTCTCTGGATATCTGTTGGTGTATATATGATTTTCGGGTCAACAAGTTTATCTTGTACCACAGCTGCAACAAAAGCTGAGACAGCTTGCTTTTGTGAACAAAATCTCTTATCAGTTAAACAACTGTGGACAGAATTGAAATCTGTCACTTTGAAAAGATTTGATGCTCGCAGGCTTGATGCTTTAAGTCTCCAAGTGCATCTTTCATCCACGCATTCAAGGATATACCTGTTTATAATACAAATACAGTTATGTATAATGTTTTATTGATAAAAAACACACACAAAAATCCGTACAATTATATACTCACATGGTATACTCTGTTGGTATACTTATATACTGTATCAGTATCATATTTTGCTGATAAAAAATATAGACAAAGCAGCACAATTCTATACTCACATAGTATACTGATTTAGCATACATATATACTATATTGGTATTATGTTTTACTGATAATAACAAAGACAAACCAATACAGTTATATACTCGCATAGTATACTGATATAGCATACTTATATACTATACCAGTATCACTGATAAAAAATACAGACAAACCAATACAATTCCATACTCTCATAGTGTACTGATTTAGCATACTTATATACTATATAGGTATCACATAGTTTTTTTACTCGACAACATGCAGACGAACCTTCTTGGGCATGATTTATGAACCCGATATTGATATTTTTCTCTAACACCATACTGTTTCATAACGAGAGCCAGCAGGTTCTTGTCTTCGTAAATTTGTCCTTTTTCAACATTTTGATGAAATTGATCAGTTATGATGTTTGCATCATCAAGTTCTAAAATGGCGTCATCTCCTTCTTGCACATCAAACGTAGTAATCATATCAGTGCTTTCAAATTGTGCAATTTCTGGTGAAATTGGAGCAACATCGAAACTGGAGGTGCTTGCAGCTATAGTGTTTTTAGCAAACGACACACACAGGGGAAGTGTTGTCATCCCTGCACTTGATTTTTTCAATTCCATATAAACACTAACACTCATATCGCTGCAAATTGTAATTGGTGGATATCCTTGAGCAATAGCATACTGAATAACTATTGTTTTACTGTCCTTTTGCAGTTGCTTTGCAATTTCTCCGAGAAGTTGTTCAAATTTCCAATAGGTCTTTATTAGAATTGCATCAACATGAAAAATTATGAATTATTGTTATCATCCCATTCTCCACTATGTTGCAGCAGAATTGGAATATTTTCCATGATTCTAAAGTTATAATCACTTTTATGTCCAAAATTGAATCTCAACAATGCAAATTTCAACGGTGTTTGAAATCAACAGTGTTCGAAATTTCAACAAAACAACAACGAAATCAAACCTCTAGATCTCCAGATCTCCAAACCTAGATTAGAATTTTCAGCTAAAATTTAGAAGTTTAGCTCCGAAATCAAAATCAAACCACCAGCAAATTCAAAATCTGAGGAGAACAACGAAATTAAAATCCGAATCAGCATCTTCGATCTGTTTTTTCACACTTACTACTCTTCGATCAGTGGAAATCTCAATTTTGTGCGCTAATTTTCTGAAATTTTGAAGAGCTTCTGCGTTTTTCCATGTTTGTGCGCGAATTTTCTGAAATTTTGAGCAGCTTCTGCGTTTTTATACGTAGGGCATTAAAAGTGTGGGTAGTTATTTTGTTATTGTTTTTATTTATTAAATGGGTAGGAGTTGTAATTATTTAGTGGGTAGAATTCTTTAATGGGTAGGGGAGGGCAAATAGTTTTACTTTTATAGGTCGTCTTGTCTTTTTCCTCTATTAAAAGGTAAATATTTTGGGCCTAATGTGTATAAAGTGAGATTTTACCGATTTCTGAAGACGGAAAAATCGGACATTTGAAAACCCTAGACCTAAAGAGTGACCTGTTTCAATTTCTTTGCAATTGACGGACAGAGGAGTATTTTCTTTGTATCCAATTTCAATGGCAACCCCGACGCCACAGCTATATGTCCACGGTTACAGTTGTAAGAAGCATTTGTGGTATTGTATTGATACAGAAAAATTAAATTGCATTTCGGATGGACTTTCTCCGGTTGCTCAAATGGAGTCGGAATCCGGAGGAGGCTGGGCCCTTGTGGATGGCCACATCTACTGGGCTGGCGGAATCACTGAATCCCTCCTTGGAGAAGGAGTTGGAGAAGGAGAGATCAGAAAGATCAGACACTCTATGAAGTTGTATAGGCACAACATCAGAAGCCCCCAACCCGAATTCTGGGAATGCGTATCTCATTCCAAGGAACTTCAGCAGTACGAACCCTGTGTCCTTGCCCTCGGTAGAACGATCTATTTTCTGGGGGCAGAAATTTTCCACATATAGGCGACAACTACGAAGGGAGGCACTGCGGCGAAGCTTACAACATTGACACCAAAAGCTGGGAGCTGTTGGCATTGAATGTCCAGGATTTTGCTCCTAAATTTAGTGGTAGAACTACTGCCGTTATGAAAGAGGAAAGTGATGCGACAGTTGTATGCTGCTCATTTCCGGCAGGTAATTTACTATTTTACAAACTCAGTCTAGATGGTCTAGATGGTTTCAAAGTTGAAGTTCATCCCAACTTTAATTTCACATTATCAGATTGCAACTCTTTGCCCAATTCGCTTGTATTGGATGACATTGACCTTGAGATACTAGCCTATGCGATCACCGCTGCACGCCCGCTTGTAAGCAACTCAACATTGTATTGGTTCACCAATGACCTGCACTACTTGTATGGATATGATTTTTCCAAGGAAAAATGGTTTAGATCAACAAGTCTTAAACAGGATTTATTTAGATCAACAAGTTGGGAAAGGGAAATTCATAGGGAATCTCCAGTTCCAGTTTTGGTTGAGCTGTCTAGTACATCTTTCCTGGTGATTGCTCTTTTATCTTCGGGAAAATTGGGGGTGGCTTCCCTTTCTGTCTACAAAACAACAGACACTTTAGATGTGTCCGTGGGGGCATGCCAAATTATATCTGTTGATCCTTATTTCCTTCCTCGTGATGGGATGGTGGCAATGTGAGTGCAATCTGTCATTTATTCCTTACCTCTTTTATTTAATTATATGATGTGCATAAATTTGTCATCCAATTTGGCCTAGTTGAAAATTCTATCTTTGCTTGCCACAACTCTTGAGCTCTGTTTGTATTTTTCTTCCTTCCGAGAAATTAATCCCTCTTTTTTTCATATGGTGCTAGTAATGTGAGCAGGGCATTCACATTAGGTGATGGATGTGTTGGGTCTTCCATTTTTCATTCATTTTAACTCTTGTCTCTCTGATTCACCTTTCCCTAAATTGTAAAGGGCTTGTAGAGTATGCAATTTTATTTACTATGAGTGCACGACTCTAGGATCAAGTAATCTCTCTGTTTTCACCTTTTTTTTTTTTTTTTTTTTTTTTTTTTTTTTTTTTTTTTTTTTTTTTTTTTTTGCATTTCTCACCTCTAACCTCTTGATTTGCACTCGTATTGGATACCCGCACCCGAGTCCGAGCAACTTAAGAGCTTACTAAGATAGATAAATAGTCCTACCATAGAGAACCAGAATTTTAGCTGTTGTGTCCATATGAATTAGCAAATGTAAGTTGCTTTTTACAAGGTTGCAACTTTTGGGTCTAGCAAGGAGCTTAATTATTTTTTGGTTGGTTGATTGCTGTCAACTTTTTGAGGTGAAGGCGGAACATATTGAGCATAACAGATTGGTGAAAATTAGTTGGGGAAAGATGAACATAAAATCAGTACCCACTAAAGTCTATGGCATCCTTGTAAAACTTTCTGCTCACATCTTCATGTATAGAATGTGGTTGCATAAGTTTTGAGTATTGTTCTCTTTTAAATCTAAGTTTCTCAACCCATTTTTTTTAAAAAAAGATATGTTTTGTCAATCTAGCTACTAAAAACTCACCTGTTTTTTTTTCTGTTGCTAAAAATGTCTTGTCATGTCGCACTAACGTTGATCATTTCCTTTTCTTGTTGTACTAAGCGTGCATGTTGTTTTTAATGCTTAGACCGTGTTATGAAACTGGTTTATGATGTAGTTTGTGTTATCAACTAAAGAGAATACTGCTATTTAAATGTTTTTCCTTGATTCAGCTTTTAATGTAACTCTCTTTTTCTTAAGAGTGATAGACTTGTGAGATTTTATGTTCTTAAGCGGAGAGCTCCTTCTCCTGACTTCACTGTGGGCTCGGACTGAATCTATGAAACCAATCCTCAGTTTGTTTGTGTAATTCTATGGTTGTTGATAAGGTTGGAACCAAATTTAGGTTGACAACTTATTGAGCAATAGCAACTACCGATTCTGCCAGAAGTATCTTTTGGTTGTTTTGTCTATGGTGTATATAAGATTATCGATGGCTGACATATGCATTATCAGAAAACATAAATACAAAACCATTGGATACATAATATCTTAATGGGCAGAATAGTTCGGGAACCTCTCAAACTTGGCAACTTTTGTTTGTTTCCAATTTAAACTTCACGTGGTTTTTAATGCTGCCTTGAACTTTGACAATTTCATAGCCTCAAGCCCTCAACCCGATGGACGTTGACAATCCATGGAGTGTGACACACGCTGTCACATGGATTTTTTTTGTCCATATGGCATTTTTTACAATAAAATATATACTTTTATCTTTTTAAGTCCACCAACTATTTAAATCATTTTTTTCGTGCCTATATTTGTAAAAAATTAATAAATAAATTGAGACAATGTTATTTTAACTATAATTTTTTATTTGGCTAAAGATGATATTTTAATCAAGTTACTTTTACATATTTGGTCAGGAAAAGAAGGAATACACATTTAGAATATATTATTCATTGCATCTAAAAAAAATATGTTGCTGGAACTCCATATATTGTAAATATTTTAGCTAAAAATAGTAAAACTCCGACTAAATATTTGCGAATTTGACTCGAAAATGAAAAATACATAGGTTAAACAAATAGTCATTGCATGAAAATGAAAATAAAAATACACAATATCTTTTTCTTTTTGTAGAAAATACACCATTTAAACTTCATTACTTTGGTAAATCTTCTTTTCATTTGGCTAAAGAAAATGGAGTTTCAACTAACTTTTTTAGATTTGTACCAAAAAAAAAGATAAGAAATACAAACATATATTCATGTTATTTAAAAAAAATACAATTAGGATAAAATATGCAATGTATTAAGAAGAAACAAGAAGAAATACAATTGGAACAAATAAATCATTATATTTGATTATGTGGCAGCCCCGTGCACTAAGCTCCAGCTATGCGCGGGGTACAAGAAGCGTCGGACCACAGGGGTATATTGTACGCTATATTTCTGTAAGAGGCTGTTTTCACGTACGGCTTGAACCCGTGACCTCCCGCCACATTAATATTTGAACAATACCCCACTCTTTGCCACATCAGCATCTTGGGGTTCAAGACTATCAAATTTCCAAGTTCTGGGAGTATTAAAGACCACAGGAATTTAAGGGGAACTAAACAAAAGTTGTCATGTTTAAGGTGTTACCGGACATTTCTGGCTATCCTAGTGTATCCTAGCATGAGTATATCCTACAAGTTAATTTTTGCTTTTCAACACTTCATATTTAACTTGAACTCTCATAGAGGTAATAGATTTTAGTTTTATAATGTTGCTATTCTTATAGGCGGTACCTGTAATCTAAGTATCATAAAATTACGCCTCCCGTTTTGGATACCGTACTTGTGTCTCTCTAACCAAAAATGGCATAGAAAATATGTCAAGCAGCGGACTCATACTTTTACAATCGTGGTTCACCCTTTGTTGGGTTGGACTAGTGATGCATTTGGTCATAGCCGTCTAGCTAGATGCATTAACTTGAATTTTTCAGAGGTGTTCATTGCCATGGGAACACTGTGAAGTAAGTTTTTGTGCCCTCCAGGGTAGGGCAGTCCCTGCAGAAGTAAGAACTGAACCTCTATTTGTAATAATGTCTCCTACAATTTGTGTTCTTTTTCTTGAAACTGCTGAATGAACTTTCTTTTTCTTTTTTCTGTTGGATGAAGTATACGTTTCGTTAGGATGTGATGAGGATTATAAATCATTTTGTGGCAGTTCCACCATGTGTGCTAGTTCTTTTTATTAGAGTACTGATTGCTGTTTCATTTACATGTGGTGATATAGCGCTGTAGACAGTGTTGAAGAGCCAGTGAAGAAAAAGGGTTCTACCATCAAAGACGAAAGACCACAGAGGATGAAGGGGCAGTCGCCCCATGCATCATGCGAGAAAGAAATGCAACTTGAGTAGTGAAGTCTAGAACAAGTGGCCCAATTATATGTAGGTCTACTTTCCAAAACGATCAACTCTGTAGTTAAGCAGATCTATTTGGCTTAAGTGAATCTAGCAATATCTTGCAGCTATCTGTTTAAAGTGCATAACCTGTTATGTAGATTCTGGATGGCTTTAAAACTAAAGTGCCATCACATTTCGACAGTAATTTGGTTTTTGATAGTCCTTGATTGGAAGAAGTCATGCAGTCAACATGTGCCCTGCATTTTTGTCGTCTTCTTTTCATATCAATGATTGCATCTATTAATGATTATTAGTTATAGTTTCGTTATATCTAATAATTGTTTGGCCTTTTCTTCCATCAAGGAAACGTCAGCCTACTTAGAAAAGACACTTTCTTTCAATAATACATGTGAATTAGAAATTCTTTCAACTTGCACTTCTTTTTTTTTCTCGCAGCAATTTTGTAGACCCAAAAGGTTAGGTTAAAGACGTGGGTTCACAAATTTGTGAGATAAAAAGAGGCCTTACATGATTAATTTCACGAATTTCACTAAACTTTTAATTTATTGTTCCAAAGTCAAGAGACTATTTTGTCACCACATTGGTCAATATGAATGGCAAAGCAACAAACTGATATGCAGTGTTAGCCCTGGGAATTTCAATTATAGTCATTGAACTAACAAAAATTATGCAGTAGAATCATAAAATTTGATAGATTATTTATCTAGTGAAAATATTTTATCGAGTAAGTTTGCAGGGGCTAGCCATTTTCTGACTATGCAATTGAAGAATAACCAGTATTACCAAAGTAAATGAAAAATATCTACTTTTTAATTCGAAAATAAAATTAGGACAAAAAAATATACTCAACTAAAACAACGAGAAATTCCAACATATTACTGAAATTTTGAACTTTCACAAGTAAAATCTAACATATTATGTTGGAGTTTGAAACTCGTATGCTGAAGTTTCTCCGTTTTTCGAAGGTAACTCTAATATAATATGGAGTTATGGTGGAGATTGGAGTTCAAAACCAAATATAGTAACCTGGGGTCTAAGTAAACCAAATCTTTTCACCATCTTTTTGAAACACACTGGTAGGCGTGTGGGCAGCTGAGTGAACTGCGTAGGAATTTTTATAACCGGTGTCGGAATTTATATAAGAACAGAAATAATAACTTTAATTATCATAATTTTGGACTAGAAATGGTCTTAGTCTATCGGTTTTATCGAGTCTTAAGTTAGAAAAAGTCCTAGATTTATTTCTACTTTATAACAATTTTAACCATAGAGGCTCTCTCAAACATAACCAACGCGCTAAGAGACAATTTATGCCAAGTGATGCCATTTTTTCCCTACTTATTCATTTCCTCACCAATATATATATATATATATATATATATATAAATTTTTTGATGAAACATCTTATGACATGCATCCGCCCCTGTGAGTGGTGCTGCTTATTTGATTATTCAACTTGTCCACATTTTTAAGCATCTCTATTTTTTCTATGTGCATTATCTTTCCATTAAAAAAGGAGTAGCTATGTGCACCAGATCTTGTTGATGGTCGGATCCAGAATTTGATGAATACGAGTATCACTACATTTCATTATATTAATCACTAGTCAAGGAGATTTAATTGAGTTGTATATTTTGCTGATTCTCTATGTTTTATTTGATTTTGTTTGAATTAATTCGATTTGTTTTATAAGATTTTTGGTGCATAAACGTGATAACCAAACTAAAATCGTTTGGTCCTTTTATTCAAATTTAAAGGAAAAACAACATGATACGGATAACAAAAGAAAATGATTAAAATTATATTTAAATAAAAAATATTTTAGATCTTGAAAAGCAAAATGAAGCAAACGTTTAATATATAATGAGGTTGTACAATGAGAGGAAAGACAAAGATGAACAAAACTACAAGAATTTTAGAAAAAGAGAAGAAATATTAACAAATGAAAAAAGGGAACAAGTAGGGCTAAGAGGGAAAGGCAAAAAACCATTGCCCATCAACTACTTCAATCCATGACTTTGCATTTGGAAAGCGACTATCTTACCATGGCACCTACGTTCACTTTGTGATTTGAGTGCCACTCTTTGCATAGTAATCTTTTTCCCCATGAAGTACCGGTATGTAGAAGAAATTGTACCTGAGTGTTCCAATGATGTACCATCCCCGTCTTCTCTACATATATCCGCCCCTGTTGATGGATGTAATATTTATTCTTATGCATTCCTTTTCCTTTTATTTTTCTCTTTCATAAATCGCTAGTGAAGCTAACGCACCCATGGCCAGTGCCGCTAATCTTCATCACTTCTTTGTGCTTTTGTGTTAGATCTAATGGATTTTAATAGTCAGAAGAACGTTTGAGAAAACGACTGCGACGAAAGAAAGTGGGTGATGAAAATATCAACTTTGTGTATATTTTTGTTTTTTATTATTGTTCCCTATGTTTTATTCGTTATCAAGCACACAACCTTCATCTAAATCGTACATACACAATATTACCTATTTTTTGGAGTAATCTATGTAAACCCATATAAGCTTGTTTGAAATCCAGGATTTTATCATGAAACTCAAATATTCCATAGGCAAAAGAAGAAGATGAAAAAGCGGATCTTTGTGCGTTTTGATGTTAGGGGCATTTTAAGCTGTGCGTTATTTTTTTTTAGCAGTGATAAATATACCTATTCGTGAATTTTACACAAAACGTTATTGCGTGAATTCTATAAGGAAAACATATTGATAACATTTTTTATACATGATAACAATATTTCTCATAGCCTAGTCGTAACCTCCATGATCCCAATATTTAGGAAACTCTTAACCCCTAGAGAGAGAGAGAGAGAGCTAAGGCTTAATACTCTGTGCATCAACATAGTATTCTAGCCAACANTATATTTAACCCTTCATTTCTCCATCCCTAGCTGACCCGAAAAAGAAAAAACGTAGAACCGTTTAAGTTGATTCCACTATGCTGTCACTCTGCCACGACACCAAAATCTCACCTTAAGTTGTCGTGATGATATCTAGTCTCTAAGACTTGGTAAGCCTAACATTCGTTGATAGTTTATCATGAATAACAAACTAAGATAATAAAATAAAATGATAAATCTCATAATAACTTCAAAATGCAACTTCAGTAGTAAAATCCCCAAAATCGATGGAATTGAGTCATAAGCTTTACAGAATATACTAAGAATCTCTAATACAACACTGTGTGATAATAGCGTATAAGGTAGTAAATAAAATAACAGAAGGTAACTCCAAGGCATGCGAGTGGTGAGCAGGTATACCTTGAAATCTCCAAGATATCTGGTCAAATCACAGGTATCCGACACGAGCTGAAGCACCTGGATCTGCACAAAAATGTGCAAAAGCGTATCATGAGTACATCATAATGGTACCCAATATGTATCGTCTAACCTCGGTAGAGTAGCGAGGAGGCTAGGTTAAGACACTGGAGAATATTATATAATCTAATAACGAAAGGCAAAGAATTAAGTGACTACGGAACAATACAATGATATATGACTAACAATGGAGAATAAAGCAATAAGGAACAACAAGACTAAATATGAGATATTAACAACGAATGCAGGAAAGACAATAACTGTTCAAATTAAGAAGTCCTTTCACATAGGATGTACAACAAAAATTACAACCGAAGCCCTATACCTCATCACCACATTTCAAAAGTCATAATCATAATCTTTCTTATAGTACCCTGAGAGCCTTGCATTTATATTTTTAAAAATATTTTTTCCAAGATATCTACACGCATTTTAGCCACCTTGTCTCACTGCGTAGCTTCAAGTATTTTTTTACTAGCAACACGCGTATATATCCGACCTTATCTCGCCGCATGCACATCAACTCCTATCCTTATACCGCCGCATGCACATCAATATCACAACATAATTACAACTCGCACCACACGTGCCCATATGTCACAACTTTAACAAAATCAACAATACTAATATTATCACATCACATAATCCATGAGTCATTTATACAAGAATCTCAATATAAGGAATAAATGAGAAACAACTCAACACGAAGAGATATCATATAGTAACAACTTCAAATAATGATAAATCAACAAAGAAAGAGGTAACATGTAATGCGAACTTCAAATAAGAACCACTCAACGGTAAAAGACGTAACATGACAATAAAAGAGCTAAAAACTTTAATTTAGGTATATAAGAGTAAACTTTACCGTTAAAGATGGAACCTATACTAACAAGTCAATGAAATGCATGAAAGAATAAACTTGGAAAATAAAAGATAGGACAATTAATCATAACTACGTAGGAATTTTTATAAGTCGTGTCAGAAGTTATAGAAGAACAGAAACAATAACTTTAATTATCATAATTTTTGACTAGAAATGGTCTTAGTCTATCGATTTTATTGAGTCTTAAATTAGAAAAAGTCCTAAATTTATTTCTACTTTATCACAATTTTAACCATACAGACTCTCTCAAATATAACCAACGCGCCAAAAGATAATTTATGCCAAGTGATACCACTTTTTCCTACTTATTCATTTCCTCAAATATATATTAAATTTCTGACGAAGCATCTTATGAAATGCATCCGCCCCTGTGAGTGGTGCTGCTTATTTGATTATTCAACTTGTCCATATTTTTAAGCATCTCTATTTTTTTATGTGCATTATCTTTCCATTAATAATGGAGTAGCTATGTGCACCAGATCTTGTTGATGGTCGGATCCATGATTTTATGACTACGGGTACCACTATATTTCATTAAATTTATCACTAGTCAAGGAAATTTAACTAAGGTTTATATTTTGCTGATTCTCTATGTTTTATTCGATTTTGTTTTTGAATTAATTCGATTTGTTTTATAAGAATTTTTGGTGCATAAACATGATAACCAAACTAAAATCGTTTGGTCCGTTTATTCAAATGTAAAGAAAAAACAACATGATACGGATAACAAAAGAAAATGATTAAAAATATACTCAAATAAAAAAATATTTTAGATCTAGAAAAGCAAAATGAAGCAAATGTTTAATATATAGTAAAAATAAGGTTTTACAATGAGAGAAAAGACAAAGATGAACAAAACTACAAGAATTTTAGAAAAGGAAAAGAAATATTAACAAATAGATCCAGTATGTAGAAGAAATTGTACCTGAGCGTTCCAGTGGCATACTATCCCCAGTCTTCTCTACATAGATCCGCCCCTGTTGATGAATGTAATATTTATTCTTATGCATTCCTTTTCCTT